CATTTAATATCAGCTCTTACTACGCCAAAGCAACTGAGCAGTTTCTCTTCACTGACCCGTTGCAGCAGGTCTGATCTGGGGGATTGGGGCTACACCACGTGTCAGAAATCCTCCATTATTCCCACCTGCCCAGATGGTACGTGTTACCAGTGGGACTGAATATCAAGGTAGCAGATGGACATCACTTCAGATTGACTCTGTATTCAGACACTTCCATTAATTTGAACAAAACACCCTATTAAAATTAAATGGCAATTCATTAGTAAGAATATGTTACTAACATCCAGCCACTGTGTTACAAACGTCCATTTAGCATAGTTGATGAATCCCAGTAATTTTTTTTTATAATAATCATTTAGCCTTTAAATCAATAGGTGACAAATATCCGGTTACCTCTGAAGCAGGCACAATTAACTGCTTTCTTTATTGACTGTCAGTTTCATACCAGGCAATTATGGTGCATGTTCAAGAACTCTTTGATTACGAAGAATACACTCTCTGAGGTGCTATAACAATTTAAGTGGGAGTTAATTTGCTTCTAATCACAATCTAATCCTAACTGGAACACGTTTCTTTGAAGTGTGAATGGAGACTTTTCAGCCACAGGGAGGGAGGATTAAGAGCATGAGCTCATGAAAGTTTTTTCTCTGGACCTTTACAATTCCTCCAGCCTTGCAGGATGAGGGAGCACTGTCTTCACAGGAACTCAGTGCTTTTCAGTAGAAGGCCACGACTGCACACTTCCCCATCTGCAATGATGCTCGCTGCCTCTGGCAACTGCATACCAGTGGAGCGGGAGTGGATACCACTTGCAGTTTGCACTGACGTTTTACCTTATTTTTCTCCTCTTACAGCGGCCTATATCTGTGATCGGACAGGTGCAAGCAAGTAACTAGCTAGTTAGAGATGGCCAGATTTGTTTTTTTTCCCCTTTTATTTAGAAAAAAGATAATATTGTACAAGGTAGCAGTACCTTATATTAAACTCTGCCTTGTTTTCACCAGCATGTTACCTCCTCTTAGTTACCTGGTGTTAGCTAACACAGTAAGAACACACCTTTTACCCTAGTGAAGATACGGCCAATGTGACTAGTGGCATTTTGGCCTTGACACATTGTGAGGTCACTAAAAGCATGGATTGGAGGAGAACAGAAGAGGCAGAAGGAGCTTATGTTAATGAATTTCAAGCTATGGCTCTGTTTGGGGGATCCTATTGCCACATTTGCTCTCTTACGTGGCTCAGCAAGTGTTGCTGGGTCTTTAATTCTGTTGGTGCATTAGGCATGCACGAGTGACTGTAAGTAGCTGTTGCAAAGTGAAGTGCACTCATCAAAGTGTGATCTAAAGAGAAGGGAGCATTTGCTATTGACCCAGGTTCACACTTCACGATGCGGAGTGAAGAGCTGCTGCTCCAGCACACATTCCCCCCTGCACCAAATGAGATCATGTGATGGGCATGGGGGGGGCGGGGTCACCAAGGTGGGGGGGCAATGGGCTGCCCTGGCATTTCAAACTACTCTTATGGTTCATTCAGTCAAAGGGAGTGATTTGAGGAGGAGAGAGGAGAAAAGTGGCTTTGCTGTAGAAGAGAGGCTTGTCGCATGTAATTTAAGTTGCCTGAAGAGCTACACTGCCTCATGCAAGTCCTATTAGCGTCTCTAAATGCAGCTGATTGATTTTTTTGCCAGTTTACTTCACTCTGTGCTTTAAACTGGGAGAACACTGATGTTGTTAACGAGCACCATGTCAGCACCCAGGGGGCAGTAAATGCAGAGAGAGAGAGAAAGGGAATGCTTGTGAACTCAAAGGTCTCTGATGTGAACTATGTAAGTGTTAAACAAGTCATTGTCGGGGAAGAAAGAGTATTATTCACGTCACTTATGCATTGTAATGTACAGATATTTAATAGTCTTCGTGGCCTAAATTTCCTGCTGCTTTTTTGAGGTCCAATAGTTGCCCCAAATGTACTTCCAGGCATGGGTCCAATCCTCAGCTGGAGTAAAGTGCCATACCTCCACCGAATCCTGTGGTGAGCGATGTTAGTTGAGGATCTGGCCCATTGCAACAGGATTGCTCAAAGGGCAGCTTTTGCTGGAGAGGACGTATGGGTTAGGGTGCGAGCCTGGGGCGTAGGAGACAGGTGTGCAGTTCCCCCTCTGCCATGGAACCCCTGTGTCATTTAGACTTTCTCTGCCTCGGCTCCCTCAGGGCAGGTATTTCCCTTCCTCGCAGGGGTGCTGGGCGGATGAGCACATCAAAGACTGTGAAGTGCTCAGATCCTATGGCAATGTGGCCCACAGAGGTACCTAAGATAGGAGGAACTTGGCTCTGGGGCACATACAAATCCTCTTAAAACAGTGGGTTGGTTAATCTTCATTTGATGGCCAGGTACTCGGTGCAAGGAATAAATTGCAGCCACGAGTGTGTATTTAAAAAGCAGCCATTTCTTCCGTGAATGATGAGACCTCTCTCGGGGATGTCCGCGCTCACCTATTTGTATGCTTAGTGGAGGTGCTAATTAACCCAACGCATCAAACAGCCACCTTGCCAAATGCTGTAGCAAAAGAAATAGAAATATATGACATGGCAATGCTACATGGGGAGGCCCTTCACTTCAGAACGCATTGCACAGCCACCACTGCCTTCCCTTCTGTGCGTCTCTTCCTGAGACCCACGTCTGCTGCCTTGCCTAGGCGTCGGGGACTGGCCTAAGTAATGGAAGGATTTAGATTGGGATTGAGGAGAAAAAGTTGTGCTCGCGGTGCCTGAGCATTCTCTCACTATACACGTAGAGTACTGGGCCTTCTCATGCATCCCATGCAACAAGGAGCCCGAAGCACAAACAAGCCAGGTATGGCTTAAACTGTATTGTGGATTTGTTTCATACGCTGTCTGCTTGACAAATCTATATTCCTGTCACATCCAGCGTGAGGACAGAATTTTTTGACACCCTCCATCCTCATCCTCTCCAACACATGGTAAATTTCATCAAAGAAACACACCGAGCCTGTGATGTGTTCTCCAAATCCGCTCCTTCTTGCTCGGCTGATGGTATCTGCCTGGATGATGCATGCTGCTATCTTGTGCAAACATATGGACGTGAGATTGAGGAGAGAGATTCTCCAACTGTTTGTCATGGAAAAAATAAACGATAAGACTGAGCAAGCACTGCCCCCTTATATGCCTCTTCAAAAGAGCTCTCACTTTGGAGAGCTTGGGAGATGCCTCCCATCCCTTGCCCCTTCCATTATTAAAAGAGCTACAGTCCTTGGGTGATCCATTCCCAAAGGGGGAATAATTTCCCTTAGCCCAGAGATGTAGGACATAGATCTATAATGCACATGCAAAGAGACAAGTGTTACATGCCAAAGCTCTAGTTTGTTTGGTAGAAACCTGGTTCATCTTGTATTTCTGAGCCCCTTGGGGCCCCACCAGACTAAATTCAACCCTGAAACCTGACCCAGACCCTCCTTCTCCAGTTGCACTCATCACAGGACACTTCCTGCAATAGTTCTGAAGTGAAGGGCCTCCCCATGTGGCTTTGGCATGTCATATATTTCTATTTCTTTTGCTAAAGCATTTGGCAAGGTGGCTGTTTGATGCGTTGGGTTAATTAGCACCTCCACTAAGCATACAAATGGGTGAGCTCGGACATCCCCGAGTGAGGTCTCATCGTTCATGGAAAAAATGGCTGCCTTTTAAATACACACTCGTGCCTGCAATTTATTCCTTGCACTGAGTACCTGGCCAAGAAATGAAGATTAACCAACCCACTGTTTTAAGAGGATTCGTATGTGCATCTGTTTCTGTGGAACCTTCCTAAACCAATGCATATGCTTAACTAATTTTTGTTACAGCATGTGTAAAAGACACTTCAAAAGGCGATCTTAAGCCAGTTGGGATCATATTATAAAGAAAACAGAATTACTTCTTTCCATCCTAACAGATTTTTGAATGAGCAAATGAAGACAAAAGTTCACATCATATGCCAGTCCAGAAAATGTGTAGTCCCCATTCCAGTGGAATGTCTGCCAACAGTAAAAAAAAAAAAAAAAGTCCCCATTTCTTAGCTATAGCAAAATACAGTAGATGCTTCTCTAATGTCTCTGTGCATCTGTTTATGTAAAAATGTAAAGCCTGTTTGACAGTTAAACATATCTCAGAAGGGACACAGATTGCCTGTGGTGCTTGAAAGTTGGAGAGAGTGAAACATATTCCCTATAACACTCTCTCTCCTCTGTCATTGGGTAGAAAGGGATAAGCAGAATTCAGGTTATTATTCTTCAGAATAATTTAACAGACATATTGGGACAGGAGTCTATCATAATAGCAACTTCTGCAAGGCATCAAAGCAAGGTGTGATTGTGCATTGTTGAAATGGACAAATACATGTTTATACTTAGGTGGGAAGCTCTTTGGGGCAAGGATACTCTATTTGTTGTGTGTTTGGTGCAGCACCTGGCACAACAGGGTCCTGGTCTGTGAGTGGGACTCCCAGGCGCTACCTCAGTAGAAATGGGAAATAATGCAAGGGAGTTCCCGTAGTGTTAGTGTTGGTCAGGATACTGATAGTTTGGACATGGGAAAACTACTTAGCTCCTCTGTGCCTCAGTTTACCTATTTCGTAAAAGAGGCATTGGGGGCACTCATGGGGCTAATGGTTGTTAATAACATTTTTCATCTGAGGATCTCCAGTTATTGTGCAGTCATTAATTAAGTGCAAAGCATCATTGTTGTTAGTAATAGTTGTGATTATATCTGGTGTGTCAGACAGCCTCAAAGTTACTCTGGTTTTCCTTTAACGAGAAGTGTGGCAACATTAACCAATGGGCTTTCCCAAAGCCGCCACTGACATTCTTGTACATTTTGGTTCTCTCCTGTGGCTTTAACTTTACTGGTATCCTTGTCACAATTTGGAAGTTTCCAGACACTGTTTAGCAGCAAAGGAATAACAGACTAATTTATTTCTGGTGGGGGGACGGCTTGTTATTGTTGTTCCAGAAATCCAAAATTTCCACCTTCGAAAAAATGTGGGCGTTCATGAGCAGCAAACCATCAGCACTCGTTAAAAATAACGAGGAAGGAATCCAGCGAGCCCTCACTGCAGAATACGCCCTCCTAATGGAGTCCACCACTATTGAATATATCACACAAAGGAACTGCAACCTGACCCAGATTGGGGGACTGATTGACTCCAAAGGCTATGGGATTGGAACTCCCATGGGTAAGTGACAATGGTGCAGTTTGTGTACACGCCTGGAGCGGGACTGCTTAGCATAAACACAACAGCTGTCATTGAGCTAATCACTCCCAGCCATGTATTTCTGAATAAAACACCCAGGAGTATCTGCCGGGTGAACGGGGATGCACAGCCCTGCTTACACAGACACGCTGCCTGCACTTGGTGCCTTTTGTCCTCCTTCCCCGCTGCGTGTGTAACGGCAGCCGCTTTCCCTCCCCCACAGGTTCACCGTACCGGGATAAGATCACCATCGCTATCCTCCAGCTCCAAGAGGAAGACAAGCTGCACATAATGAAAGAGAAATGGTGGCGGGGGAACGGCTGCCCTGAGGAGGAGAGCAAAGAGGCCAGCGCTCTGGGGATACAGAACATTGGTGGGATTTTCATTGTCCTAGCAGCAGGCTTGGTGCTGTCGGTCTTCGTGGCAATGATCGAGTTCATCTACAAGCTGCGCAAAACAGCGGAGCGTGAGCAGGTATCGGCACCGTCGGTCTCCCAGCCCCCGCCCTGCCGGCTTTGAGCCTAGCTCGGGTCCCTGGGTTGGCCTCTCGCAGGAGTCTGGGAGTTGTGCTCAGGGCGCACACAGCTCGGATTGCTGGAAGCATTGCCCCCTGCGGCATGCTCAGGAGGACCCTGGCGGTGTCAGAGCCCTGAGCTCTGCTGGGGAAAAGTCCTGGCAGCCCAGAGCAGGGATAAAATGAAGATGCCATAGGGTGGGACTCACAGCTCCTCTCTCCATGGATGCCCAAACCAAATCCCCCATCTGGAAGGACGTTGCTTCCAGGGAGGGGATGACGGACTGTACCTGCCTTAGGCTAGGTATGGCCTGGTGCTGAAGAAGGTGGACAGAAAACAGGGGGGAAAGAGAAGGCCAGTGACTTGCAGGGAGCAGCCCTGTAGCCAATGCAATATGCATCTCCCAGGGAAACAAGACACCCGGTCCCTAAAATGGGCTCGGCGAGCGGTAAAGGAGCCACGAAACATTGTCCTGCCATGCTATGGCAATAGTCTTGGCGAAACCAGGGAACTGGCATAGTATTCCCTGCACTATTCCTCATTTATTAACCCTTTATACACTACACCGCTACCTCGATATAACGCGACCCGATATAACACAAATTCGGATAGAACGCGGTAAAGCAGCGCTCCGGGGGGACGGGGCTGCGCACTCCGGTGGATCAAAGCAAGTTCAATATAACGCGTCACCTATAACGCGGTAAGATTTTTTGGCCCCCGAGGACAGCGTTATATCGAGGTAGAGGTGTATTTATCAATGGAATCTTACCAGAAAGTGTGGCCAGGCCACCTCTCATGGTTGCCTTATGCCCTTGATGGAAGAGGGTTTACACCCCTCAGACACTTTTACCTTGTGCTGCGTATACAGCGATGTTACGCACAACATAATAATTGTGTGTATGAAAAACCTCTACAACCAGAGACTGAAATAAGTTGGCATAAGCAAAGCCCAGTAAACCAGCCAGCCCGGGTCAGGCTGCAGCAATCCTATGACACTCAGGATGCCACAGCATTGTGACTCCCAGGGAACAGGGAATGCCCCTGCACTTATTACAGTAACCTCGGCTTTTTCTTTAGTCAGTCTCAATATACTGAAGGGGAAATCTCACCTGTGCGCATAGGGGCCCACAAATGGCCTCCACAGCCCTGTGCAGAGTGGTGCGTAGGAAGCATGCTGGCCCTCTGCACAGACAGTTCTCAGAACACCTTCCTGGGAGTAACAAAATCCTTTGCCTCCATTCTTCCCCAGCGCTCCTTCTGCAGCACCATGGCCGATGAGATCCGGCTGTCGCTCACCTGCCAGCGGAGGGTCAAACACAAAGCCCAGCCACCCATCATGGTGAAGACGGACGCTGTGATCAACATGCACACGTTCAACGACCGACGGCTACCAGGGAAGGACAGCATGACGTGCAATACTGGGCTGACGCCCGTGTTTCCATAGGGAACCGGGGTTGGGGCGGAGGGAGGGACTTGCTGGAGATGGGATCGGATGCTCTCTCCATTAGGGAGGAAGGAATAAAAATCCTGGTTTGGTTCAGTTTCAAGAACAAGGCCTTTAACACAACTCCATCGGTCGCCGGAACAGGAACGGGAACTTCAAAGCATGGACTGTAACCTGGTTTTATTTTTTAAAAAAGGCCTAGATCGTATAGGCCTCATGGAGTCCAAACACACTACACATCCAGGAGTCTGATGTTTACATATTGAACACACATGGAGGCAAGCGAGAATCAAGCCGGACTGACCTTCAGTGGATAACGAGGAGCCCCCCGAAACCCCAGGCTTCCTTTAGCATGGCAATAAAAAAGAAACATTTTGTGAGTACAGTACAGATGTGGAGTGAATGACAGTCCATGTGAGCATCTATTCCGAACTGACGTACACAGCACATTTAGGACAGAATGACCGGGAAGGGGAACAAATACAAATAAATAAAACGATTGTCAAAGCTGCTGCCTTGTCTCGAAGCAGTCCACCATGACCTTTTACCTCAATGCTGTGCTGTCTTCTTGTCGCCGAGAGCGGGAAGTCCACGTGTGCGTGTGATGCAAAAAGGCACGTGGAAATACATCGGAGTCAGACAGCTGGCTAAGAAGGGGCAAGTGATCTTTAATGTACCCCCAGACACAGGGCATAGGATTAGGGTCGTGCACCAGAAACTGCTGCCATCTGAAAACACAAAACAAAATCCTCCTGTGCCAATTCCCCCTGCAATGCCAGGGTGGGATTGTGATCTTCAGGTCGCCAGCTCCTTCACAGCCTGTGGGAAGGTCACGTTCCCCTTAGAAAAATCTATAGACTTCAGCATTAACATGAAGAGAAAGTGAGGGAGCTGTTTCTGGGAAGCTAATGGGTAAGTCTACACTGCAATGTAAGCCCAGGATTAATAGAATTCAAGTTTGTTAACCTAGGGCTTGAGTGTCTACACTCATTTGTAACCCCAGGTTAGGAATTGTTGAACCTGGGGTCCCAACCTGGGGCTCCGGCAGCTACACTGCATTACGTGGGATCAAGTCCAACCACCCATATCCCAGACCTCCTAGCACCCTCCAAAAATGCAGCCACTCTAGCCATTTGTTCGTAGTGCAGTTTGGGAAAACTCGACTGTCCAGAGGACAAAGAAAGTCAGCCTATGGGATTGTGGGATATTTCTGGCAGACTCCCAGAGTACGAGTCCAGTGGGGCTGCGTCTACACTGCAGAGCAATAGGGCTTGGACCCTGGGTCCCGGCTTGACTCAGGCTTGGACCCTCCACCTCCATGCGGTCCTTGGACCCTGGGTCCAAGTCCTGGGTTAGTGCCATTTGTGTGTAGACCGAAAGGGGATAGGCTTGAAGCCTGAGTTCAAACCCTGGGCTTACATTGCAGTGTAGACACACCAAATGTTACTAACTCCAGTAAGTTTGATGGCGGTGAATTATGGCTGCGTTGGTTTCATATTCCTGACAGGCAGGGAGAGCCGGGTTGTTTGTCTGGTTTAAAATTAATGTTTAATTTTGGGGGGTTTGTGGGACATCCCAGACTTGCAAAGAAGATCTTGGTCCAAATAGACAGGACCAGTCTTGGGTCAAACAGCACCCTGGATGAGCCAGAATGTGGCACTCACTGTTGCTCTCCCAGTGCATTCACTGCCCTACCCCACAACTGCATTGCCATTCTACGCTACCAAAAACCCACCAACCAAACAAGAAACTCCCATTTAAAACATTCTCCATGAATGGCGCTCGGATTTTCAGCAGTGCCCCAGGTTGCTTGTCCCACAAGGCTGGTCCTGCAGATGCATTCAGTCAGAATTACCAAAGACGTGTGAGCTGATTTAGGGTTATCTTTGAGTACGGTTTGTTTTTTTTGTTGGTGTTTTTGTTTTGTTTTTTTGCATTCCGCCCCCTGAGAGCATCACCCAACAGCGTTCAACGTGACATTTCACTGGCTCATTTCCTTCCTGGCCCTTTGCAGAACCAGCGAGAGGCTGCAACGTGCAGAGATGCTTTTCTAAAACGTTGTGGGGAATGTGCTGAAAAAATGAGTTCAGGGATTTGACGCTGCCCGATTATGGGGAGGATTTAGTGTGGAGGAAAACGATACTCAGCTTCCTCTTTTAATGCAGAATCACTAGAGATCTGCCATAGGGACTCACTGCACCTTCCATTCTCTCCCATCAGAACAGAGGCTAATCCTCAAGGCTGATGTTCCCTCCCACATACAGGGCCAACACGAAGCTTATACACCACTTAAGTCCTACTTTGAGGGCTTTAGCGGGGCTTTAAGTAATGCCTTGTGCTTGGTCTCTTCACGGGGTAAATCTCACCCTACATAGTGTGAATTTAGGAAGGTTTTATGGCTACAGCAGGAGTCAGCTGCTAAACTAATCCAATTTTTCATGTTCTTATTTAGAAACATTTTTAGAGACTTCACCTGACCCCAAAGGAACAAATCCATTTGCAGTTTTGCCCCTTCTCTTTCTTTTCTTTGCTCAGTTTTAGTTTTTAGGGTGGTGGAGTTTGGGCTGAATTACACATTTGCTCCAGGGAGAACTGTGGCTGTTTTTCACCAGAGAGCGTACTTTGGTTTGGTTTCTTCCCACAATGAAAAAAGGCAATGTTTTATCCTGAAATAAAATGGTAGCTTTTCTTGCATATGACCCTGATAAAAATTAGCCATTTGGGAGAGAATTTGCCACTGTTCTCACCTTTTCTTTTCGTAGATGCCATGACAAGTTAGAGGTGAAACTTGCCAACTCTCTTGGGTGTTGACTCCTCCGAGTTTGGTGACCAAGGGTGAAATTCACCCCAGTGCAATGGGCCACACCCCACTTAAATCCCTCTTCGGCCCTCAAACCAGGCAGAATGGGATTGAAGTGGGACGTAAGTGCGGCCAAGGCTTTGTGCCAGCCTCCTTCAGAGGGGGGAAACACCATCCCAAGAGCAATAGGCACCAATCCGATTGCTGACTCACAGAAAGCAACTCCCTTTAATTGTGACAAGGTAGGTGACTTAGCCATTTCCCCCCCGCCACCTCCTACCCTCATATCTGTCTCCATTCCCAGCCTCACTCAAGCTGAATTTAAACCTCTTTTGTTTGACTTCCAAAAAACTGGCTGACTTCAAATTCAGTGTTTGATCCAAAGGGGTTGGATCCCAACAGCAACATCGTCTCTGTCACTAAAACAACAATACATGAAGAAATGTACCAAGAGCAGAAAGTGGGGTGAAAAAAGTACCTCCGTCTCCCAAAACTAATTATTTTTCTTCTCCATCTCTTTGCACATCTGGCGGCATTTCAGACAGGCAGTTTTTACGCTTTCTTCTGGGCTTTCCAAGCTCTTAGAAATAGATTTCACAATCAAGAGGAAGTTAAAAGCAAAGCCAAAACCCTGCTGGACTTTAAAAAAAAAAAAGTGCCCTCTCTCTGTCTCTCTCTAAATGCTCCAACAGGATGAGTAGTAACAAGTCTGTACAAAATAGCATCCATTTCACTCCTTAGAAGATTATTTTAAAGAATAAAATTTAACCAACACCACTTACTTAGCACAAACAATGTGACGAGTGAGTTTCTATCACTGTTGTCCCAAATTTACAGGAGACCACGTGGAATTACCAGTGCTTGCGACCAGCAAGAAAAATCCCTGCAGATTAACCTTTTCTCTTCTATCTCCACAATGACAGTAAATTGGCCAGGAAAGAATAGCCCATTTCATGCTTCTAAATGTTTAAAATCCTGAGTATTAAAACTTTCTCCATTTTCAACAACAAGCAGCTGTTCTGTAGGGCTGAAAGTCCTGCTGGAATGTAGAGGAAACAGCCAGAAGCCAGACACACACGGGCATACAGGTTAGTGACAGAATGGACAGCAGACCCACATGAAGTCCTCAAGGTGCTGGCGTGTGTCCCCAGCAGGGGGGCATATGGATCCAGCGGTGTAAATAGAAAAGGGGCGGTGTGGAGTGCACAGAGGGGGATGTGGGTAGCTCAAAGCCAGGAGGAGGGCACTCACTATAGATGAATGACTCTGTAACCGTTGCAAGGTGGGGGTGACATCTCTCATGTAATCCACAGCACGAGCAGCAGCAGTTTAGACCTCACCTCCTCACGGGCTGTTCGCCGCCTCTAACGCAGATTCTCCTGGGCCTTTACTGAAACGCCAAATAGGTTTCCTCACGGTGGAGGTCTTTCATACCCACCCACATCTGTGCAATCAGCTTCTCACTGCAACTACCATCCCATAAGCTCTGCTCTCATTCATATATAGAGAGAGTCAGACATGCGCACATGCCTAAAAGTATATATTGTTAAAAGTATATGATACACATACAAAGGTTTTTAAATACTATCTGTATATATTATCAGAATGCCATCATATTTTTCTAATGCCATCTAGCAATGATCTACAAAATCCACAGTACGAGTGGACAGGTTAGAAGTCTCTGTCTCCTGCCATTCCACCCACCTTGCCCACCCCAACACAAAGGGATCTCGGGTAGGGCTGGAGGCAGTCTGTGGAGTCTGGATGGTGACCGCTCTTGTCCCAGGTGGCCGTACAAACCCATTCGGTTTAGCAGCTTGCAACTTCAAGCTCCTCTGAATGTCCTGGCTGCACCTCATTGTTACCGATTAATCCCATTCCCTTCGTTAAGCTACGTATATTGGTCCAGATTCCCAGCCAGTGTAAACCAACTTCACTCCATTGACTTCAAAGAACAGCACCAATTTAAACCAGCTGAGGATCTGACCCGTTGCCTTTATTTGTGGCGGGGGGGGGAGGGTGTCCCCTCAGTTAGATTGGTTCCTTTCAACCAAAATTTCGGGATGGGGCCTTACAATTTCCGATCTCTGTTATACTGGTATAAATCTGACTAAAGTTGCTTTCGAGCTATGCTGCCTTTGATTGGTATACCTGAGATCAGAATCTATCCCCTTGCCTCCACTAATCCTTGAGGTGCATC